CCCCGCCTCCAGCTGCTGGGCTGGAGCTGCCCAGGGTGGCAGAGGATGCGCGGGGTCACCCTGCTGTCCCTCTCACCCCTGGCCACAACCGACCGAGGACGGGGCCGGAGAGAGTGCAAAGGACACCCCGAAAACCTCCGCCTTCCCCCCCAGCCCAGCCCCTTTGTTACACCCGAATCCACACCGGCCCCGCGTGCCAAAAAAAATAACGGGTAAACCCACCTAAAAAATGGCTTTTTGGGCCACTGAGATGCTAGGAAATAACACCAGGATGGGGACCGTGCCGTGGGGTGGTGGCAGCCACCCCACAGGGCAAGGAATTTCCATCCCTCCCCATCCCAACATGTATGGGGCAGGGTTTGCACCCGACGTGCGCTGAAGCACTCGCTGAGCCCCCTGGAGTACATCTCCTCCCCTCCTCCTCCTCCTCTTCCCCAGCCCCCTCCCCCTGCAGCCCTGCAAAACCCCAGAGCTCAGCACATCCCAGGCAGGGGCCCAGCCAGGACCCTCCCCAACGCCAACCACCCTCGCCAAGCTCCTGCTTAACCCTTTGCAAAGCTACAGCCCGAGCTGGAAAACAAGAGGGATCAAGCAAATCTCATCAGGGGGTTGGCCCATAAGGCACGGCCGGGTGGGAACAGGCTGTCCAGAAGATTTCATCCATCATCCAGACCTCTCCCCCCCCACACACCCCCCCTGCTGCTCTCCCCAGAAAGGACAGCGGGTCAGGAGGACAAAAAAAAAAATCACACTGGGTTTACACCACAGCAGTACCCGGGGAGGGGAAGTGCAGGGATTATTAAAAACTGGAGTTAAATCTTGGCTTTCTAGCCCCAAACCGTTGCTAGAAGAACTGCTACAGCAGAGCAGCCAGGCTTGGGGAGGTTTTTAAGAAGGAAAATTAGCTGGCAGGCCCACACTGCCTCCCCTCCCAGGGCACAGCATCACCTGAGGATTATTACAGTTCAGAGATCAAAAAGTTACATTTCACTTTAAATCTCACCACCACCATACCAGAGGCTGCTTGCTCCCCTGCCTACCAGGCAATGTTATGGCAAAGACAGACAAATATTTATGCTCAGCTTCAGAATTCAAGCTTATTTTTAGCAGGGCACTTTCCCTGTGGTCCTTTACCTCTATGTCGTTTATTTGCCCGTTTCCCTCTGCTTTGACCCCAAAACCAGCAGTTCCTCATCTATTTTCATACCAACGACTTGGTGGTTGTGGGGAGAAAATAACCCCACTAGCTAGATTGTGTTAAAAACAGGATCCCAAGCCCCATCCCAACGTTTCTCAGCCCATGCCTGCATGTTTTGCTGCATTTCATGGCAAACAGGCCAATATCAGCCTGTATTTTCAACAGCTGGGGTGGGGGTTTGTTCATTTTTGTTGCCCCAAAAAGCAGAGCAGTAGCCCTGCCGTGCCATGGGTGCAAGCCAGGACTTGGTTCCCAGCTCCCCACACATCCCCTCTGCCCCACAGCTCCCCAGGATGTCACCCACTCCACCAGCTTGGACGTCAGCTCCCAACATGGTGAGGGATTCAAGCTCTGCTTCACCTTTAATCCCTAAAAAACAATTCCTCCACCACTGCTGGTGGGGAGCGTGGGCCCTCTGCACCCACAGCTTTTGGGTGGGAGAATTTATCCATGCAGCCCTCCCAGGGCAGGGCACAGGCAATGCTGGCACGGGGGGTCTGCCCCCCTCACTCCCAGCCAGCGTTTGCCCTCCACCCTGTTTACCACCAGGCTGCTATCAATCTCTGCTCAGGAAGGACAGTACCCGAGATAGCTCCCAGAGAGTGACTTCAGAGTGTGCTCAGCTCCTCTGATAAAGCCGCAGGCAGTGCAGTGGGAGGACAAACAAAGCCTTTTATTGCCAATTAATGGGCCTTCAGCTCCCCGTGCTTCTCAGGGTCTGGCTTTGGAAAGGTCACGTACGCAGGGACCTGCAGAGGGGGATGTGCTTCCAGAGCAGAGACCTTGGAAGAGAGCTGCATCTTGCCCCCGTTGTATGGGACCACTGGGGGAGACAGACAGTGAAGAAACCCCCCCTCCCCATCCCAGCCTTGCCACACCCCCCTCAGCCCTGATTTTGAACGTGTTTTGCTCCAACCACCCCAATTTTTTCAGCAAGCCCAGGCAGCTGAAGGGGACCCTGGCAGCCCGTGCTCTGGGGTTGGATTTTACAACCCAAAGCCAGGCAGCAGTGAAGGTGAGTCACCCCCGTGTCCCATGCCCAGCCTGCCTCTGCCCCTCCCAGCAGGATCAGGCCCTACCAGTGCTCACCACACAAACACCTGGGAAGCCCAAGGTGATCAGCGGGTACGTTAACAACAACACGTAATAAAAACGCTCACGGCCCTGTCACCTGCCCTCTGGTTTCGTGCCAGCCCAGGGCCCCGTTTCACCACACAAAGAAGGGTGGGGGAACGACGGGGGACAAGGGTACAAACTGACCTCAGCCTGACGATGTCTGAGGCGTGGGATGGGGTCTGGCCCTGAGGGGGTGAGGCCCAGGACCACCTCAGGCCCTGAGGAGGTACCAGGGGGCTCAGGCCCAGACCTGAGGTGCCCAGGGATGAGGCCCAGGCCCTGAGGGGTCAGGCCCTGAGGGGGAGCTGAGGGGTCAGACCCAGGCCCTGAGGGGTCAGGCCCTGAGGGGGAGCTGAGGAGACAGGCCCAGGCCCAGAGGGGGAGCTGAGGGGTCAGGCCCAGGCCCTGAGGGGCAAGGCTCAGACCTCGACCGGGTGGCAGGGTCAGGCCCCAGGCCCTGCAGGGGTACCTGAGGCTCTAGCCCTGAGGGGATGCCTGGGGATGCCGCCGGGGCTGTGAGGAGGTGGCAGGCGGGCGGGATAGCCCGGCGGGAGGCAGAAGGGAGGACGGCAGGAGGATGGATGGCAGGAGGGAGAATGGAGGGGCCGAGCGCAGCCGAGCGGGGCCGAGCGCAGCCGAGCGCCGGGGGGGCGTGGCCTCCCCGCTGTCGCCGGGCAGGAGAGACGCCGCGGACGTGCCCCGCGCCCC